AGAAACGCTTATTCAAACCCTTTGCTTGCTTTTTAATTGAGTTGTTCGGCTTTTTGTTGCTGATTTTTAGGAATTCTTTGTATATTCTAGATACTAATCCATTATCAGATAAATGATTTGGAAATATTCTTCCCATTCTGTGTGTTGCCATGTTACCCTGCTGATAGTGTCTTTCCATGCACAAGTTTTAAAATTTTTCATCAAGTCCAATTTATCTATGTTTTTCTTTTGTTGCCTAGGACTTTGGTGTCATATCCAAGAAACTGCTGCCAAATTCAGTGCTGTGAAGATCTGCTCGTTTTCTTCTCAGAGTTTTAGAATTAGGTTTTACATCTAGCTATAGATCCATTTTGAGTTATTAATGAATCCCTACACTGGTTTCTGCCAAATAAAAGTTAGTTCGCTCATGTTCCTGCCATGCACAACCCCCTCCTTTACACCGACTGGAGATCGGCTCCCACACACATCTCCGTGAGTGCATGGCCACTGCCTGATAAGGGTCTTATCTTTTCTAATCCAGAACATACTCCTACTATCCAGACTCCTGTACCTCTGTAATCCACTAGGCTTTTACAAAATACAAGTGAGATCATGCCCCCCACGCTTAAAATCTTTCACTGTCCACAAAATAAAAAATATTTAGCAAGGTATATAAAACCTGACCCCATCTACCTACGCAGCCTTATCTCCCTCTGCTGCCTCCAAACTCCTTGAGGCTCCCTCTTCCTTCTCTCCCCGCTTACTGTCACGTTGGTAAGATGCCACCCATTCTTTTAAGATTCCGATTAAAATGGAATTTGTCTATGCCCAATGCCCTCAGCCCCTGCTTCAGCCTATCAGTTCCTCTTCTGAGATCCTGCTATACCTTGTACAGCATATACCATGGTTTTGTTACATCTGTTACGCTGGAATTTTCTATTAATGTCTTTCTTCTCCATACAAAAATGGTGAACTCTTTGAAGGCAGAGAGTGTGTATTTCTTATTTTTGTGCCTTCAGTCCCCTAGCACAGGGCCTAGGATGTAGAAAATGCAGGGTAAATATCTGTCACGTAAATGAAGAAAAGAACAAATGAATGTGAAAGAGATCGACTCTGAATCATCCTGAGAGCAGGGGTAGGAGGGACTGCCTTCCTCCTCCTCCCTCATCTGCTGACAGCAAATCTGCCTGCTCCATCCAAGCTCCTTCCTTCTCGCAGCTCATAAAGTCCTGTTCGCCTGCTTGCTTGGCTGCCTCACAGTCCAGTCTGATAAGGCGATCAGCCGGCTCCAGGTGTCCTCGAGGGGTAGGAAGGAGGAGGGAGAGGGTGGCGGTTTCCCTAGTGTTCTGCCAAGCTCTGCTCCAACATTCCCTAATATTCTTTGGCATTTCCACGACAAGATGCACACTGATGCCCCGAAGCCTTAGAAGTAAGAAAAAGATTTTCATAAAAATCCAAATCCAGGCAAGAAAAGTGGTAGACTAGAAGCCTGAGGACTTCCTGGTAGGAAGGATGACAGGAAATCACTGCCCAAAAATGCTTCTTAAAAATGAAAGACATGAAGGTGGTGATACCAGAAGCAGGATGTGGCCCTGGGTCTGCTGCCAGCAGGGCATGCTGTGCCCTGCAATAGGAGGAATCAGCCGCTGTCCACGTCTGTACCCACACCGCGAATGCTCACGCCAGGTGGCAGAGGTGGGCCTCTGGGTCTGAGAACTTCAGCAGTAGCCAGAGGGGCTGCCAACACCCAGGAAGACCAGGGAGCCTCCGAGCCTAGGAGATCAGCTGCTGGGACACCCACCTGGTAGGTTTCTCCAGGTCTGGACCCCTCACTTTGGAAGAGCTGTCTGTGATAACACTTGGCCAAGCAGCAATTCCCACTTCTCGCCCAGGAGCAGGTAGCAGCTAAAAAGCATTCTTGATCAGACTAACAGAGAATATCAAAAATAAAAACGAGGCCAGGCGTGGTGGCTCACGCCTGTCATCCCAGCACTTTGGGAGACTGAGGCCGGTGGATCACTTGAGGTGTCAGGAGTTTGAAACCAGCCTGGCCAACATGGTGAAACCCCGTTTCTACTAACAATATAAACACTAGCTGGGCGTGGGTGGTGGGCGTGGGTGGTGGGCGTGGGTGGTGGGCGTGGGTGGTGGGTACCTGTGGTCCCAGCTACTCAGGAGGCTGAGGCAGGAGACTTTCTTGAACCCGGGAGGCGGAGCTTGCAGTGAGCTGAGATCGTGCCACTGCACCCCAGCCTGGGTGATGGAGTGAGACTTGGTCACAAAAAATCAATGAATACAATAAAAATGAGCTTTCAGCTAAGAATCACCACACATTTGAGAAATGCTAAAGAGAGAGAATTGTCATGCTGAACAAACTGAAGATCTTACACTGGCAACAGAGAAATGGAACAGGCAGCCCAGCGCTTTAACATACAGATAATTTCTATTCTGTGGGAGATATATGAGAACATTATGCCCATGAGAAAAGAATCAGCTAGATATGCTGGAAATTAAAAAGCTGGATTGTTAAAATAAAAATTCAACAGCTGGGCCAAATAGCAGACTAGATGCAAGTGAAGAGTAAATTAAAACAGGAAGACTGGGTTGAGGAATTCTTTCAGAGAGCAGTTCAGAAGGACAGAGAGACGGAAAGCATGAAAGGAAAATTAAGAGACATGGCAGCAGATCTAGAAGCTTCAACGTTCACGTAACAAGAATTCCATGAGGAGAGAATGCAGAGACAAAGCTGTAGAGACTACCCAAAGAAAGGAATAAAGGAGAATAATTTCTCAGGGTATGAGAAACGCAGGAGTCTTCAGATGAAGAATACAACTGGGGCTTGGTACAGTGGCTCACGCCTGTAATCCCAGCACTTTGGGAGGATGAGGCAGGAGGATCACTTGAGCCCAGGAGTTCAAGAGCAGCCTGGACAACACAGGAAGATCCCACCTCTACAGAAAAATGTTAAACATCAGCCAGGCGTGGTGGTATTTGCCTGTACTCCCGGCTACTCAGCCAGGCGTGGTGGTATTTGCCTGTACTCCCGGCTACTCAGGAGGTGGAGGCAGGAGGATGTCTTCAGCCCAGGAGTTCCAGGTTGCAGCGAGCGATGACCGCGCCATGGCACTCCAGCCTGGGCACCAGAGCAAGACTCTGTCTCAGAAAAACAAAAGCAAAACGGTCAATCTTACTAGTACACGGGGGGGGAAAGAAAATTAAAGAACTGAGTACTGTTTTCACACGCCAGCAGAAGAGATGAAAATGAAGAACAACAACATCACGGTGTGGCTGAGGTGCCGGGAAGAGGTGCTCTCAGCTGAGGTGCGGAAAGTGCTCTCAAAATTCACAGATCGGTACTTACAAGTGATACAGAGGCTTCGCTGGCAGGGCAACTTATGGGCTAGTAGTTTACTAAAATTTTACAATGTATATAAACTATAACCCAGAATCTGTCCTTGAGAAGATACTGTGCATATGGTTGCAAATGGGGGCATATTTAAGGATTTAGGAACCAAACGATCTAGTGCTATACCTGTGGCGGTGTTTATACTGACGGGGATTCTGTGCGATCAATTCCAGGAATGAAGCAGGTCTATACACAGCTGATGTGAAAAAAGAAATCTAAGAAAATTCTAGGAAAATGAAGCAGTCGTATACAACTGATGTGAAAAAAAAGAAATCTTAAGAAATTCCAGAGAATGAGCACGGCGTATATACTGACGTGAAAACACAATATCTGAAAATACATGTGGTTGAAAACAAAAGAAAGCAGTTTTTAGAATAAAGCGTAAGGTATGAAACCATTTAGTTAAAACAAAACAAAGCAAAACCCAAAACCATTAACTGAAACTAATAGATTTATGTAAATACACACATAAAAATCCGGAGCGATATCCATTAAATTGATAACAGTTACCACCTCTGGAGGAGAACTAATGGGATTCTGAGGGTTAGGTAAAAGGGAACTTAGGCTTATCTGTATATATATTTGACGCCTCCCAGGTTCAAGGTGACTCTCCTGCCTCAGCTTTCCAAGTAGTTGCGATTACAGGCGCCCGCCACCATTCCAGGATAGATTTTTGCATTTTTTAGTAGAGACAGGGTTCTTGTTTGTCAGGCTGGTCTTGAACTCCTGACCTCATGGTCCACCGCCTCAGCCTCCCGCAAAGTGCTGGGGATTACAGGTGTGAGCCACAGGGCGCGGCCATGGCTCACTGTGTTTTCTAAAGACCATTACAGCAATCTATCCCATCCCACTGTGCTTTTTGTAACGATGTGACTTTGACATTCTCCCGTTAGCATTAGTGGGTGGGAGAAGACTATGTTCCTCCTCTTGAATCTTAGCAGCCTTGCGACTTCAGTAGAAGTGGATGCTATGCAAATTTCCCAGGCTTGCTTCTCTTGTGACGCTCATTCTTGGAACCAGCCACCTTAACATGAGGAAGTCCAAGAAGCCGTGGAAGACAACAGAGAATCCAGCCCGGGCCTGGCTGAGCTCCCAGCGGACAGGCAAGTACCCAGGTGGCAGCCATGAGGAGGAGCCAGTGCATTCTCCAGTCCCTCTTGAGCTGCCTCGGCTAATGCTGCACGGAGCCGGGAGAGCTGGTCCCCCTGAGCCAGGCCAAATTATACATGCAAAACAATTATTGTTTTAAGCTACTAAGTTTGTGCTGGTTTGTTACAAAGAAATAGATACCTAGAACAGTTTCCCTCACAGATGGGGACAGCTGAGAGTGTTCCATATACACAACTGCAACTATCTACGAATAGGCACTTTGAGAAGACACGGTAAGGGGTATCATGGGGGATGCCTGCACCAGACAGAGTCAGATCAGGTAGCATCTGAGGTTTCTTCACACAATAGGATTCTGCAGTGAACATGCTGACCTAAGTGCTTAAGCACCTTCTAGCACCAGGTCCTTTTCTGAAAGCAAGATCACTTCTGCTGGGGACGGTTTACCTTTCGGAAAGCTGCCGGATCTGTGGAATCCCCATGGACTTTTCCTCCGGGGACAGTTTACCTTTCAGAAAGCTGCCGGATCTGTGGAATCCCCATATACTTGTGGAAGTGTTCCAGGACATTCATCACACCCTGAAGGAGATTAGCAACTTCTCCGTATTGTCTTCGCCTGGTCATGGCTCTGCAAGGAAAGAATAAGTTTAAAAGTCTAGAAAAACACTAAGAACACAAGATACAGACACAGAACAACCTACTCTAGCTCTCAAACAGACATCAACTCGGCTGAATCAACGTTCACTGAGTGCTGAGTATATAAGCTGCTGTGCGTTGTGGGAGGCAAAAAACAGGATCTGGTCCAAATTCTCAAGGTGACATCATACAGTAAGACAGAGAGTCAAGCACACATCTAACTAGTATAAAATAGGATGAACTATGTTCTAAACAGAAGTGCACGTTATGTGCTATGGTGGGAAGAATGTGTGAGTGATTAATTCTCATTCGGTGTGGGGACAGGAATCTGGGAAGACGATGGATTTAGAATTTGGGTTGGATATTTTGGGATTAGCAAGCTTGGGACAGAGAACAGGGGTAGGGATGTTACTATCTGAGGATTACAGCCCATGAGCAAACCAAACACATCTTTCCAGGACAAAACAAAGGGCATGGCTGGGCGCGGCGGCTCACGCCTGTAATCCCAGCACTTTGGGAGGCTGAGGCAGGCGGTCATGAAGTCAGGAGATCATGACCATCCTGGCCAACATGGTGAAACCCCGTCTCTACTAAAAATACAAAAAATTAGCTGGGCGTGGTGGCAGGTGCCTGTAATCCCAGCTACTCGGGAGGCTGAGGCAAGAGACTTGCTTGAACCTGGGAAGCGGAGGTTTCAGTGAGCCAAGATCGTGCCACTGCACTCCAGCCAGGGCGACAGTGTGAGACTCCCATCTCAAAAACAAAAACAAAAACACAGAAAGGGCCCAGCTTTAAATATTAACTGAAATCTGCAGGTTCTGAGGCATCTGTGTCACAGGCCTCTACTTTCCCTACTGCTAAGGTTAATGTCGCTTCAATAAAAGGATGCTGATAAAAACAAGTTACACATAGGGAGGAAATATAAACTATTAGATCTAAATTTTTCATTAGGGTTGGGCTATTTTATTACATTTATAATTTATGATTTTCCATAAGAGGCATTGAAAAAGACAGGATCAAGTTCAAGCCAAGGTGTTACACTGCTACCAACATTGCTACCACCGCCTGTTCTCACCACCGCCTGTTCTCACCACCGCCTGTTCCCACCAGCACCTGTTCTCACCACTGCCTGGTCTCACCACCGCCTGTTCTCACCATTGCCTGGTCTCACCACTGCCTGGTCTTACCACCACCTGGTCTTAACCACTGCCTAGTCTCACCAGCGCCTGTTCTCACCACTGCCTGTTCCCACCAGCGCCTGTTCTCACCACCGCCTGTTCCCACCAGTGCCTGTTCTCACCACCACCTGGTCTTAACCACTGCCTGTTCTCACCATCGCCTGTTCCCACCACTGCCTGGTCTTACCACCACCTGGTCTTAACCACCGCCTAGTCTCACCAGCGCCTGGTCTCACCACTGCCTGGTCTCATCACCACCTGGTCTCACCAGCACCTGGTCTTAGCCACCACCTGGTCTCACCAGCGCCTGGTCTCACCAGCACCTGGTCTCACCGCTGCCTGTCTGTTGGTTTGGCGGACACCCACCACCCAAGAAAGAACAAATGTGACTACCCTCTGGTCTCCCTCTGGCCCCTGCTCTCACTGCTCACAGGGGAGTGGACCGGGGGTCCCTGGAGCTCATACAATACCTAGAGAGGTCAGGAAGAGGCCTGCCCCTCCTCCTCTTTTCCTGAAGGCACTCTCCCACTTCCCCCACCCAGGACTTCGAATGCTGTATCTCAGTTTCTATGAAGATGAGCTTTCCCTGTCCACACATGGAATCACACTGAGGCTGGAGCAGGGGGAGTCCCCAGCCTGAGATGGGCCACAGAGGTGAGCTGGAGTGTCAGAACCTTGCTAGTAAAGGAGGCTTTAGACTGCTTCTCTGTAGTAAATAACCAGCTCTTCCTTCTAATACTATTTCTAATGTTCTGGTGTATCATTCCCTCTACAAACCAAACGGAAAGCTAATAAAAAGTAGATTGAAAAAAAGTGGTTTGAATGATTGAGTTCTGTCTCCTATACAGGGTCTCTTTGATGACAGTGCAACTCAGCCCAACGCAAGTAGGAAACTCGTCGAGGCAGAAGCAGCTGGGAGTGAACGTGGGCCTGCGTCCCTCTGTCTGCCTTGACGGTACAGAGCTGCAGCCTGAAGACGGGCCATATTCTCGGAATCGTTCTGAGAGGCTTCCTGGGTCCCCTTCTGACCGGCTGCCAGTGTTCGTTAGGTTTTGAACACCAGAGGGCACAAAGCAAAAACGTGACTGGACACTTGAAGCCAATTTGCAGAAGATGGGACGGGATGGTGAGACTTTCCCGGCTAAGAAGTAAACAGGCCGACAACACCATTTCTCTATGTGACACATTTCCCGTGGCCCCAGAAGAGAAAGCTGGCATTGCTTACTCGAGGGAGTCGACACCTCCTGCCAGCATGTGCAGGTGGTTCAGCGTGGTGATTGAGGTGGTCAGGTGGCGTTTGGCGTGATCTAATTGCTTAATGTCACGGGTGATTTCTTTCACCTAAACATTGAAAAACCAAAGAGAGAAAGGAAGACGGTTAAGAAGGATGTAAAACGCTTCCACAAGTAGCTCCCTAAGAAACGAATGCAGATGAAGCAGGGAAAAACCTCAGGTTAGCAAACACTCTCACAATACAAAATCAAAATAATTTCCAACCAGGCATTTAATGTGGCATCTCTTTGGACTTCACTTGGGGTTATAAAACCTTCAGCTGCGAGCATGAAATGAACTTTATTTTTTACCCCAAATGAAATGATCCAAACGGCAATTCAGTATTGAGCACACAGGACAGAGGAGGCAGGCACAGCACCGTTTCTCCTGAACAAGGCGAGGAAAGTGAGCCTTCTGGTGCTGACGCCGCTGGCCGAACAGAATGCCTCAGTCAGCACCTGGCACTCACACCGTCTTTCCCAACGGAACGAGGGCCTGAGCCTCCAGCAAAGACTTTCAAATCTCAAGAAGACTGAAACAGAAGCCCTGTGACACACGCTTAACATGTAAGTTACCAAGGAGGGCAGGCGCAGTCTTCAGGGAGTGAGACGGCAGTTTGGGGAGTAAGAACCTGACAGTGTTGTTTCAGCAGGTGCAAAAGAAGAGAAGCTGTCTCTGGGAATGCAAGTGTATTTCAGTCACCAGAAAAGCATATTCAATAGAGAAGTTGGAAAAATTCCCCAACTTTACTAACACCCAGGTGAAATCATCCACTGTGTTTCTTGGTCCACGCTAAGAAACTTTGTGTGTGTGTGTGTGTGTGTGTGTGTGTGTGTTTTATCACGCCACATTAGTTTTAATTACGTACAAAGATCTAACATGTCACGCACGGACCATTTCACCCACTGCTCTGTTTGGCTGCCAGTCTCGTCTCTCTCTTCTGCAATGGTGAGGTGGGTACCCCTTCCTCGGGGAAGAAAAATCCATGGTTTGTTGCCATAGTGAAAATGTTGGAAAGTCGAGTGGCAAAGCTGTTGCCATTGGCGTCTTTCACATGAACCACGTCAAAAGATCCAGGGTGCCTCTCTCTATTGGGGTCACACCAATTCTTCCTAGGTTGGCACCTCCAGTCACCACACACAGCTTACCAGTGTCGAACTTGATGAAATCAATAATCTTGCCAGTCTCCAAATCAATCTGAATGGTGTCATTCACCTCGATGAGGGGTCAGGGTAGCGGACGGTGCGCGCATCATGGTCACAAGATGAGGTGACCATATTCTTTTTTGTGCCCACAAAGATTTTTCTCACTTTGCACAACTTGTACTTGGCCTCCTCGGGTGTAATACGATGTACAGCAAAGCGACCCTTGGTGTCACAGATCAAATGGAAATTCTCGCCGGTCTTGCCAATGCTGATGACGTCCATGAACCCAGCAGGGGAGGTTGTATCAGTTCGGACCTTGCCATCGATCTTAATGAACCGCTGCATACAAGTCTTCTTTCCTTAAGTCTGTTCCTTAGGAAAATGATGAGGGGGAGACACTCTCTCAACTTGGGGGACCGTGGACGGACTAGGAGGAAACACACCAGTCCATTTATCCAGCACCCAATGCTTTGGAGCTGCCATGCGCTTCAGACGCTTTTTGGCACCACCAGCCATGGCTGCATTAGGCAAGGAAGGGGGACCTCCGTCTTCCGGGGCACGCAGTGAAACTTTCTCAAGAGCAATTTGGTTGCCCAGGTTCTGTGACACCTGGAAGGAAGGGACTGCCCTGGATACCAACCACAAACACTGCAGTCACGGGACAGATGCATCCCACTAAAGGCAGAAACTCGGCAGTGAGTTCATGGCCCCGTGAACTCATAAAGGTTACGACCTGCCCAGCTCAAGTCCACACCCACAATCCTGCAGCCTCACCTGGGTCTCAGCTGTAAAAAGCCTCTTTCATGGTGACTTCCCTATCAAGCCTTCCTTCCTTCTATAACCCCCAAACAACCTCTGTTTCCACTGAATTAAAAAAAAAAGAAAGTTTAAGACCCACCACTACTTTACCAAATACTTGAATTTGGGGCAAAAAAAACAACCCAGGAGTGGTGTCACAAGCTGGGTATACAAGGCTGAAGACTGGCCCTATAATCTGATCACCCACTTGCCGATCTGAAATCAGCATCCTTTTTCCTACAAAACAATCTCTGTATCTCTTCCAGGGTTTTTAGCTTTGGTCTAACATAGGGAGTCTTTATTTTTTATTTTTATTTATTTATTTATTTATTTATTTATTTATTTATTTATTGAGACGGAGTCTCGCTCTGTCGCCCAGGCTGGAGTACAGTAGTGCGATCTCGGCTCACTGCAGCCTCCACCTCCCAGGCAAGCGATTCTCTGCCTCAGCCTCCAGAGCACCTGGGATTACAGGTGTGCACCACGACGCCTGGTTAATTTTTGTATTTTTAGTAGAGACACAGTTTTGCCATGTTGGCCAGGCTGGCCCTGAACTCCTGGCCTCAAGTAATCCGCCCTCCTTGGCCTACCAAAGTGCTGGGGTTACAGGCGTGAGCCATGGTGCCCGGCCGCATCGGGGGTCTTTAACCACCGTGTTCAAAGTCACAGTGATCTACGACTCTTCCTGGTCCCTGCATCATTAACTCCTAAATATTCTTCCTCTGCTTCATCTCAAAAATCCATCCCTTCTCTCTGTTCCTTGTTCAGGCCCTCACGGCTCTACACTGGAGCTGACTGGCCTCTTCACTCCCAGGCTCTCCCATCACTCCCCATCCCACAGCCTGTGTTTCTCTAGACAAACTGAACCACAAATTTTTCCCTAAACAAAGCCTTCAATGGCAGGGCATGCCAGGGGTGCTCAGATAAAACCGACACGAGACCACCCGTGAGACAGAATGCCCATGGTTGATTCGCCTCAACTGTTGCCCATGGGCAGCGAAAACGGGCAGAGCTGAAGCGGGAGGTTTTAGAGTCAGACAGATCCAGGGCTGAACCGCAGCTCTACCACTCACCAACACTGCATCCTAGAACAAGTTTCTCAGCCTCACGGAGTCTCAGTTTTCTCATCGATAAGATGGGTAATCACAGAGATAATAATGATCCTAAAACCTAGTTCAGAAGGTTGTTGTGAGGGCTAAACCAGAGTGCTGGTGCAAAGCAGCCAGCACAGAGCTGACACTGAACGAGCTCAAGAAAGATCACGTCTCCCATGCAGGGAGGCCCCTGAAACTACTGCCACGGAATGAAAGATGAAATGCTCCCGATTACCGTAAATACAACATTGCATGCAGGACTGTGTAAAGACAATGCCAGGCTGGGCTACCAGAATGAGCTGACAGCACGTGATGTGCTTCCCCCTGCAGAGAGCCTATGAACGGACGTGCAGTCAGGGAGGTTTCACATCACCAAGATTCCTGTCCCAGAAAAGCAGATGTTCATAGCTCTGGGAATGGAATGCGACCCTCGTGGGGAGCCTATAAACGGACGCATGGGGGGGCGCCTGTCCATATGGATAAGATAGGGCTATAAACGCCCTCATCTTCCACGGCTCTTCTAGGCCTCTTTAGGGTTAAGACATACTCCCTTCTGAGAATTTCTGGTCTAACCGGTTGTCTAGCTTCATATCCTGTTTCTCTGGATTGTTTGTAACCAGGTTTTGCTGCAACTGTTACTGCTGATTAATATCTCACTAATCATAGCTTATGGAAAGACTGTGTTCCCATTTTAAGGCTCTGTTAGAAATTGCTGATGCACACACTCTATTGTAAATTCTTATCTGTACACTGTACTTCTGCATGCAGATGTTATGTTAAAGAATTACTTCATCCCCATGTGACCAACTCACCTCATAATCAAATGACCCCAAATCCTTCACTAACCTACCCCCGGCCTCACTAAACTTAATAATAAATGCTGGCATATCCAGTGCATTGTTGGCACCGTGGGACCAGAAGGCGGTGACCCCCCTGGACCCAGCTTTCACTATCTTGTGTGTGTCTATTATTTCTCGACCTGCCGATCCGCCTGGGAACAAAGAGAGAGCCCCGCTGCATTGCAGGCTGCTGGCCAGATCCCGCAATACCCCCCTCACTCCCACCACTTCCTCCCTTCAGCACAGCACTGTGCAGGAAAGCAAACTGCTTTAAAATAAGACGTCTCATAACTTGGGAGCAAACTGTCACTGCAAACCCCCTCGGTTGGAAGAGGAAGCATACTCCAGAACTCAGATTAGCATCATAAGGATATCAATAAATGCAATCAGCTCCAGCAAAAGCAGCGTGGGACACTCTCACTGATCACCACGCTTTGAGGCTCCTGGGTGCTGCTGGGTGTGGTGCCTCCTTGGGGAAGGACCACAGAAAATCCAGGTCCCTAGAATATGCTCAGTGCTCTTCATATGTTTAATTTTCACAACAACCCTGTGAGGCAAATACCATTATTCCTATTTTACAGTTGACGAAACTGGAATTCTGAGACAATTGAGAGACAAGACACTACTGAGTCCGAATCTGAACCCAGGATCCAGCACTTTCCAGTGCCTCCCATGGGGGTGGAGAGGGTGAATGAATGCTGGATTCTCGGTCTTCAGAGCAAGCTTCTGAGCACATCACTGGGGGACACAGATTCGTCAAGGGGGAACTCAACCAAAACCACACACACGGATCATAGGCAGGGGATATCCCTCCTCCCTGCATCCCTCCCTCCTCCCAGCTCCAGGACCCTTCTCAGTGTGCACCAAGCTACACACCACACATCTTGATGGAGAAATGCGTGGTACCAATACCAAGAGATGTTAGAGAAAGGAATATCCAAAATGACTAGGAAACTATTTTCAGAAAGGAGAAAAAAAAATTGCAGCCGGGCTCACGCTTGTAATCCCAGCACTTTGACCATGTAAAGGCCAGGCGCGGGGGCTCACGCCTGTAATCCCAGCACTTTGGGAGGCCGAGGCAAGCGGATCATGAGGTCAGGAGATCAAGACCATCCTGGCCAACGTGGTGAAACCTCATCTCTACTAAAAATACAAAAATTAGCCGGGTGTGGTAGCGGGTGCCTGTAATCCCAGCTACTCGGGCGGCTCAGGCAGAGGAATCGCTTGAACCCGGGAGGCAGAGGTTGCGGTGAGCCGAGATCGCACCAATGCGCTCTAGCCTGGGTGACAGGGCAAGACTCCATCAGAAGGAAAAGAAAAAAAAAAGTTGCCTGTTTAAACCCAGGGCTGCAAACGCAGGGCAGCAGAGATGGTGAGTCACTGCTGACCAGCAGCTCCCCTTGAATTGATCTGAACGCATTCCTAGGGGCTTGCTTTAGAGATGCAGATGACTGTGGTTGGCAGGAGGTGCCATTATTAGAAAAAGCTCCTTATTAGAATGCCCAGATGAGAAGCTCACTTCCTCTTTTGGTGCAAAAAGGTTAGGAAGAAATCAGAACTCACCATTTGCTCTGACTTTTCAGCTTTGTCTTTGATGTCTTTGATTTTGCCAAAGAGCTGCTGGATAGCTTTCTGAGCCTCTTCAAGTGCCTAGAGTAAGAGAAACACGTGAACAACAAAAGGCAGCTGGAGACAGCACGGGTCACTACGCTGTAATCCACGCTGGGCACACTGGAGACAGCACTGGTCACTACGCTGTAACCCACGCTGGGCACACCGGTCACTACGCTGTAACCCACGCTGGGCACACCGGTCACTACGCTGTAACCCACGCTGGGCACACCGGTCACTACGCTGTAACCACGCTGGGCACACCGGTCACTACGCTGTAACCCACGCTGGGCACACCGGTCACTATGCTGTAACCACGCTGGGCACACTGGAGACAGCACCGGTCACTACGCTGTAATCCACGCTGGGCACAAAAGAAACTTCCATAAACTCTCCTGACTCGTCATGCTTATGCCAACGATTTTTCTGTATAGCGTCCGGTATCTGCGTACAGGCAAACACTCGGGACTCTTACCAACGTGCCTCGCAAAGTTTTAACTTAAAACGAAATGATTCCCCCCATCTCAGTGATTACTGTCCACGTTACTGATAACAGCAAATAGGACAAGTATATCTCTGTGTGTGGGTGTATGCAAGCAACCATGCGCAGTGACCTTCAAAGCCTCCTACAGAGGGACGGGGTAGCTCTAAATTGGGGCGAGGGAAAGCTCTGGACTTGGAAGTTCCAGATTGTGCCTTCAAAAAAGCCTGAACCGTGAACGGAGACTCCAGAACTGCAACAAATCTTAAAGACTTTCATAGTAAGTCACTTGAAAACCAATGAAATGCACTTAGAAAGGAACGCTGGGCGGGGCACAGTGGCTCATGCCTGTAATCCGAGCACTTTGGGAGGCCGAGGCGGGCGGATCACGAGGTCAGGAGATCGAGACCATCCTGGCTAACACGGAGAAACCCGTCTCTACTAAAAATACAAAAAATTAGCCAGGCGAGGTGGCGGTACCTGTAGTCCCAGTTACTCGGGAGGCTGAGGCAGGACAATGGCATCAACCCGGGAGGCGGAGCTTGCAGTGAGCCAAGATCGTGCCACTGCACTCCAGCCTGGGAGACAGACAGAGCGAGAATCCGTCTCATAAAAAAAAAAAAGGGGGGGCACTAAAAGCTAACGGTGGCTCACACCTGTAATCCCAGCACTTCAGAGGCTGACGCAGGAGGATTGCTTGGGCCCAGGAGTTCAAGACTAGCCTGGGGAACATGGCGAGACTCAGTCTCTGGGAAAAAAAAAAAAAAAAGTTAGCTAGCCAGACATGCTGTAGTCTCAACTACTTGGGAGGCTGAGGTGGGAAGATTACTTGAGCCTGGGAGGTCAAGGCTGCAGTGAACTGTGATCACGCCACTGCACTCCAGCCTGGTGACTGGGCGAGACCTTGTCTCAAAAAACAAGCAAAAAGCTAATGGTGAGCCCAGTATTTCCACTGACATAAACACCTGCAAAGATGGATGCTATACAATAAAAGTATTACAACACGGCTGCAGCTTCTGCCAGGAGGGGAAGCAACATGAGGGCAGTTGTGAGACATGGAGACCAGAAAGTGTCTGTGAGTGCCAGCAGCCCACGGACGTGCATAGACCATACGCACTATAATAAAGACGATGAATTCCTGCGGCAGTTATAGCACTAGCCACGAGTCGGCATCTCCTTAACTCACTCCTTCAGTCATTCAATGAGTATTTACTGAATGCCTCCCATACACCAGGCTTGATTCTGAGCATGGGGAATCCAATGGGAAACAAGACAGTATGGTCCCTCTCTCTGTCCTCAAGGAACGAACTTACTTTGAGAAGTAAGTAAGGGGGAGGAGATCCTCTAAAAACAACGAAATAAAGAAACAAGTGTGTCTTTACTTTGGATACACAAGTGTCCCTAAGTGTGACAGGTGTGGTGAAGGACTTATGCAGAGTGATGAGAATAAGGGAGATGGTGGTCACGGAAGGTCTCCTGAGAAAGGACACCCAAATCAGGGCTGCAGGATGAGGAGGTGTCAGAATTTGTAGATTTGGAGTAAGAGGATTTTTTTTTTTTTTTTGCATGGAGTCTCGCTCTGTCTCCCAGGCTGGAGTGAGTGACGCAATCTCGGCTCACTGCAAGCTCCGCCTCCCGGGTTCATGCCATTCTCCTGCCTCAGCCTCCCGAGTAACTGGGACTATAGGCGCCCACCACAACACCCAGCTAATTTTTTGTATTTTTAGTAGAGACGGGGTTTCACCATGTTAGCCAGGATGGTCTTGATCTCCCGACCTTGTGATTCACCCACCTCGGCCTCCCAAAGTGCTGGGATTACAGGCGTGAGCCACCGCACCCGGCCTGGAGTAAGAGATTTTTAAGCAGAGAGAACAGCAAATGCAAACACCCTGACAGAGAAAAGACCTCAATGTTTTGGAGGTCCAAAAAGAGAGACAGTAGGTGGTAGTGTAATATCGCAGTGGGAAGTGTCTAGAAATAATCTGGAGAGGTAGGCAGGAGCCAGGGCATGGAGGGGCTCAAAGCATGAGGATTCTCATCTAAGTGCAAATGAGAAGCCACTGAAGGGTTTTAAACAAGGGACAGATGTACAGTTTACTTGTACAAAAGACTGTCCTGGCTGTTATGTGGCAAGAGAGTTGTGCAGGGGCAGGAGGGAAAGCAGGAGTGAAAGGCCCGTGAAAAGTTGCTACAGTTGTCCACACGAGACGGTGGAGGTCTAGACAAGGCAGCCGGTGCTGACGGGAAGACGCGGAGCGATGCAAGGTTTCTAGGAAGCTCTGACGCACAGGACTCACTCACGGACGGACTCTTTGTGGGGAACAAGGGTGAGGGAAGAACCAAGGATGACTCCCGAGCTTTGGTTCACTGACTGAACTAGGGAATGCAGGAGGAGGACAGGTCCGACAGGCAGGTGTGTCGTGGTGGCTGGGAGTGAAGAGTCCCATCTGCAATACGTTAAGGGCGCCTGTGCTGTGGCTGGAATGTGTCCCCAAAGTCATGCATTGGAAACATAATCCCCAGTGCAATGGTGTTGACGGGCGGGGCCTTTACCAGGCGACCAGGTCATGAGGGGTTTGCCCTCATGAATGAACGAATGGCATCATCCCGAGAGTGGGCTCTTGATAAAAGGATCTGTTCAGCCACTTTCTCATGCATGTGCACACTTTCTTGCCTTCTACCTCTGCCACGGGACGACGCGGTGAGAAGGCCCTCTCCGCGGGACGACGCCGTAAGAAGCCCTCACCACGGGACGACGCCATAAGAAGCCCTCGCCACAGGACGACGCCGTAAGAAGCCCTCGCCACAGGACGACGCCGTAAGAAGCCCTCGCCACAGGACGACGCCGTAAGAAGCCCTCGCCACAGGACGACGCCGTAAGAAGCCCTCGCCACAGGACGACGCCGTAAGAAGCCCTCGCCACAGGACGACGCCGTAAGAAGCCCTCGCCACAGGACGACGCCGTAAGAAGCCCTCGCCACAGGACGACGCCGTAAGAAGCCCTCGCCACAGGACGACGCTGTAAGAAGCCCTCTCCATAAGAAGCCCGTGCCAGATGTGGGCCCGTTGACCTTGAACTTCCCAGCCTCCAGAATTGCAAGAAAGAAATCTCTTTTCTTTATAAATGATTGTCTGTACTATTCTGTCACAGTAACATAAAACACACTAAGAAAACTGGTATCAAGAAGTGGGCTATTGCTATAGTAAATACCTGAAAACATGGCTTTGGAACTGGGTAATGGACAGATGTGGAACAGTTTTGAAGTGAATGCTGGAAAAAGCCTGTATTGCTGTGAACAGAGTGCTAAGGGGGATTCGGCTAAGGGGGATTCGGCTAAGGGGGATTCGGCTAAGGGGGATTCAGCTACAGGCTCAGAAGAAAAACAGAAATGTAGAGAAAGTCTGGAACTTCTTAGAAATGACTTAGTGGTTGTGACAGTGTTGGCAGAAATACAGACAGGAGCCTGGGCACGGTGGCTCACGTCTGTCATCCCAGTACTTTGGGAAGCCAAGGCGGGCGGATTACCGGAAGTCTGGAGTTCAAGACCAGCCTGACCAACATGGTGAAACCCCATCTCTACTCAAAATACAAAAATTAGCCGAGCATGGTGGCGGGCGCCTGTAATCCCAGCTACTCGGGAGGCTGAGGCAGAAGAATCACTTAAACCCAGAAGGCAGAGGCTGCAGTGAGCTGAGATAGCATCATTGCACTCCAACCTGGGTGACAAGAGCAAGAGTCTGTCTCCACCAAAAAAAAGATAGCTTACTTGAGATCAAGTAGAGACATTAAGTTGGACATAAGATTCTGGAGCTGGAAAGAGAGGTGATAGGCTGGGATTTAAATTCAGAAGTCATTACTTAAAGATGATATTTAAGTCTGTAAGACTAGAAGAAGTCACCTAGGGAGAGAAAATAGACAGAGAGGAGAAGACGGCACAGGGTTGACCCTTGGGTATGCCAATATTCAGACGTCTAACATAAAAAAAGCAGAGATGCAGAGAAAAACCACCAGTGACATGAGAAAAAATCAGGGACAATGGGTGTTACATAAGCCAAACAAAAGTGTCTGAAGGAAGAGAACAGAGTGATTGTGCCTTCTGTTGTTAAAAACTCATATAAGATGCTGGGTGCGGTGGCTCATGCCTGTTACCCCAGCACTTTGGGAGGCCAAGGTGGGTGGATCACCCGAGGTCAGGCGTTACAAGACCGCCTGGCCAATATGATTGCCAACCTATCGTCTCTAAATACGAAAATTAGCTGGGGCGTGTGGCGGGCGCGCCTGTAGTCCCAGCTACTCAGGGAGGCTGAGACAGGAGAATTGCTGACCCGGGAGCCAGCGGTTGCAGGTGAGCCAAGATTCACACCATTGCACTCCGCCTGGGCGACAAGAGCAAAACTCCGGCCAAAAAAAAAAACCTTCATGCGGATCACCAGTCAGAGGATCAAACCAGCCTGACAACAGGTGAACCCGGTGCTGTTTACTAAAAATACAAAAATTACAGGCATGGTGCTGCGTGCCTGTAATCTCAGCTACTCCAGGGGTGTTAACCCAGAACAG